CTGCCTCTCACTGTCCATAACTACCTCTCAATAAACACATAAAATCTTTAAAAAAAAAAAAAGAAAAATATTCAATTCTATTCTTTTCACAAGCCATAAAAAGTCAAATTATCTATTAAGCAGATGGCATTCAGATGGACCATAAAACTGTGGAAGTGGTTAAATAGAAAAATACCTCTGTCATTAAGCGTTTTAGTCCTTCAACTTCATCTTCTCCTGGGTTAAGTTCACCACCAGGTCTGTATAAAGGTAAAAAATTTCAGCTTTCAACTTAATACAATTTGGAGATAACAGAAAGAGCACAATGATAATTCTATCAGGTAACTAAACAACACAAATTTCAGTGTCAGGTAAGACCATCAAAAACAAATGTCAAAGGGAGAGGGTAAAATATGCCTGAAAGTTGAATTGGTAATGTTAATTCACCATACTAACAGTACACAAACTTTAGTTTTAAACAAAATATATAAGATAGCATAAACATGAAAGCAACTGCTGGCACCAGCTCATCCCAATCTCTTCTGGAACTATGGTGATAATGGGATGTAGAAATGCCTAGAGAGTACTGGATCACATTCTTTAGGTCTGAAGAATGGGACAATTTTCAAGAATTTCAATCTGAATTTTTGAGACTTTCCTTTTTGGTATACTCCAGTCAAATAGCTGTGGATCAAATGTTTACTGAAAGACTTAAGAGCTTAAATAGTAAAACTAAACTGTTATCTATAAATCATAAATCATTTTAAGAAAATGAAACACATTCATCCTAAGATAATATCAACTGCTCTACTAGTGCTACAATTACATCTAGAAATTGAGTTTAGACTAATCTATTCCAAGGGTAAGTTGTACCAAGCTCAATCATTAACATCAATACACAGAAACAAGTAGCTTTTAAGTTAGGAAAAATAAATGAGCACTGCACTGGAGAGAAATTACTCATAATTTTCTCTTTCAAAAGACTCTATTAACAGCAATGTTTGTTGAAATAAATGACTAAGGGCTAAAATTATATTCAAAAGCTGCATAAAACAGCAACCTTCCAGCAACACTTACAATTTGAAGAAAGTTGTTCCCAGTTGTAGCAGTAACACATGGGGTAGCCGGTGCTCGTGTACAATCAGAACCCCTTCTACAGTCCTCCTCATTCCAATTTTATCAAATTCTTCCCGCATGCGCTGAAATCTGGCTGCAACAGAACTGTCCTTCTCATAGAGAGGCTCTTTTGTACCAAAAGTATAATTGGTAAGAGGATAACTGTGATCAAAGACAAACATCTAACATAAGAAGTGAAGACCATACAAGACACCAGTCATATTCAAAGAAACCACGGTCAAAAGTGCATTTAATGTACTCAAATAAGGATTTGTCCAAAGTAACATGAACAGTACTGAGACAGCGGAGATTAGAATCCTTTCTTCCTCTCTCTAAACTATTAAAGGCCAACCCAATGCCCGATGAAGCTGGTACCCGAGACCTGAACTCAGCATAGACAACACCATCCTTACCGGCCTTAAATGCTTAGAGAAGTGGTTATCTAGGTATCAGTAGTGCTCTGGCTTTGGATCCTAGATGCTATACCTACATTAAAAACTGAGTAATGTCTCCTTGAGTGCCTCTGACTACTAACCTAGCCATGTGTTATTATTTATGGGCGCTAACGGCTAATCTTTTTTTCTATAAGCTGAGCCCCCACTTTCCACTGATGTTTCCCAGTGATTTTGTTTCTCCCAGTAAACCAGCCTAAGATTTTTCTGCCACAAACTTTTCCTTTTCAAACCAACTTTCCTATACTCTTTTTTCTCTCTAAACCTACTAAGAAGCCTTTTAGCCTCCTGCTTTTATTCTATTTAGTACCCTTTTTCTTCCCTTCTACTCATCCAAATCTACCCACCACATCTAATCTGAATGTCTTTTATCAATTCAAAATATGGTTCATTCTGTTGAAGGGTTTGCACCCTACCTAGTAAAGATCAAATTCTTCCTTAAAGATAGTTTCAAAAAATCCCACATTTATACTGTATCACACTTACCAACTTATAACCCCTTAATGATGAGCCTTTGATTGTGAACTTGAGTAATAACACCTGGGCCACACTTGCTATTTGCAAGGTTATCTTCTCTATTAAAAGCCCTTGATAGGGACCAGCACTGCGGCATAGTGGATAAAGCTGCTGTCTCCAGTGCCCGTATCCCATGTGGCCACCGGTTTGAGTCCCAGCTGCTCCACTTCTGATCTAGCTCTCTGCTGTGGCCTGGGAAAGCAGTAGAGGATGGCCCAGGTCACTGTGTCTTTGTACCCTCGTGGGAGACCCAGAGGAAGCTCTATGGCTCCTGGCTTTAGATCAGTGCAGCTCCGACCGTGGTGGCCATCTGGGGAGTGAACCAGCAGATGGAAGACCCCTCTGTCTCTGCCTCTCCTCTCTCTGTGTAACTCTGCTTTTCAAACGGAGGCGGGGGGGAGCCCTTGATATTAATAGTCAACCACTACATACCTAGTCTGCTCACATACCTAATCTACTCACCTCCTCTTGAAGGGTAAATAAGTCAAAGTTGCCAACTCAAGAGAACTCCAGGGTGGAGGGCAGGGGACAGCACTGTGGCACAGGTTAGGTTGCCACTTGTGATTCCTGCTCCACTTCCTATCCAGCTTCCTGCTAATATGCCCAGGAAACCAGTGAAAGATGGTCCAAGTACTTGGGCCTTTGCCACCCATGTCAGAGAACAGAATGAAGTTCCTGGCTCAGACCTGGCTATTGCAGCCACTTGAGGAGTGAACCAATGGATGGAAGATCAATCTCACTCTCTCTCTTTGAAACAAATAAACAAAAGTTGAAAATAAAGAACCTTCCCCAGCAGACCCAAGGCTGAATCTAACAGAGTCCTCGGTAGCAGCAGCAGTTACCTCACAGGTACCTCACGCTTGTAAGTGAAATGAAATCTAGCATTATCTGCCAGGCAAGTCTATTCACTCCTAGTCCAACAGCCAGCTCCCACATCAGTAAGATGCCATCAAGATGAAATGCTTGAATCTTCAGCTGTGAGATGAAAATCTACCACCCCAGACTCCTAACACCGTGACTTTCCTCATGTTCACATACCCAGTGCTATGCACAGGACTCGTTATCAAGTAGGTGTTCATGCAGTGTTTCCTAAATGAAGATATACTAGGGGAAGAGAGATTTGTTTTCTATATAATGCCTCACCCAGGTGAACTGAAGTTCACGACACAATGATTATTTCTGAATACAGCATTTATACAGAACAAAAGTACTGTAAATCAACTCACAACTTTAATGGAGTGAAGAGTAAAACATCTCATTGAAAGCACCATCATCTCACCAAGTTAATTCTACATAATGGCTTCATGCAAACTGATCCGGTAATCAAAGCAAATCCAGAAAAACTGTGGGATCCTAGTTCTGATCACCACTGAAAGCAACGTAGAAGCTGTGCTTTCCCACTCTAAAGAACACTTGTCTTCTCAACTTCCTGGGACTCTTATAAGGGAACTGAAACGAAATTACTAACTAGTATGTACTTGAATGTAACAGTTGCAAGGATAGTTTGTATGCACACAGCTATCAACTAATTCCAAATTCTATAAACCTCACATTTCTATTATCTACATCTCAAGCCAAATAAAACAATGATAGAACCATCTAATTCCAATTCGCTTTTGCTTTTGAGGGGGAAATTCATTTATTTGACTATAAAACAGAGAAACATTTAAAGTGTTTCCCCCATAAACATCAGTCTTGGCAAATCCTTGCACTCCAAGTATTTTGAAAATTTGTACCTATACATAAATACTGACCAGCTCGAACTGGCCACTTGCCTGACCACTGTCAGCACCACGCTGCCTCACTCTCTCTCAGCACAATGCCAATTTCTTGATCAAGATCACAAACGCCAATGACCTACTACAGCGAGACTGCTTCTGAGGACTCTGAAGTGCTCAAAAATAAAGCACAGCCCACAACGGGTTCTCGGGGGCGTAACTCTGGTTCTCTCACGGTCTAAAAACCCACACACGGCATCCACACTCCCAAGCTGGAGCCCTCGGTGTCTGGGACGCTATGGCAGAGAAGGCATGTGAACGCATAGGGCAGGTGAGCTAGCTCTGAGCAGATGACTAGAAATGTGGTGTATTCACACACCGAAATACCATACGACACTTAAAGGTCCGAGCTAGATCTCGAAAGCCTAGGTGCGAACCAAGCATAAACAGTGGACCGGCAGGGGGGAAAAGCACACTTTTAATTCGTTACCTCTGGAGAGGTGAGGAAAGGAATTAAAGCGAACTTTGCTTTTACCAATAACTGGCCATAAGCGGATGAGAACAAGTCTCCCTGCCAGAAGTGAAAAATCCTTCCAAGCAAGGTTCTAACCCCTTGGGACTGGAAGACGCGCCAGGGACCTGTGGGGATGAGCAAGGCTCGCGGGGCTAGGGGCCCGCCGACCCGGGGCGCGCCGGAAGAAGAGCCTTTAGCAGCACTGACCGGGGCGAGCCCAGGCTGCGCGCGAAGGCCAGGCCGCACTTACAGGTTGATGGTGCGCTCCAGGGTGAGGGGCTTGGTCTGCTGGATGTACTTGTTGCCGAACTGATTGACCCCGCGGGGCCAGCCGGTCTGCGAGCGATTGGGCGGTACCACCGACATGCTGGCAACCTCTGACTCTGGTGGTGAGCAGAAATCGGGAGGTGAGGGAAATTTTTTCCCCCCGTGCGGGCAGCGGTTATCTGCGACCCGCTCAGTAGCCGCCGCCCGCCATTAACATGAGAGCGCAAGAGGAGGCGTACGCACGCCGGAAGTGAATCCTGGGCCTCTGGCGGCAGGAAGTTGAGAGGCGGAGGCCTGCCTGGCCAAGCGCTACTGGGCCAATCGCTAGTGAGATGGCCGCAATATACAGCGCTCCCATTGGTAAGTCAGGGATAGGTTCCGCCTCCTTTAGATTGGGTTCTTCCCGATGGGTAGTGCTGGAGAACACGGGAACTGAGGCATTCTGGGAATTGTAGTCGCCGTGGGGAAGTAGGTGCTTGGTCAGTGTGGCGTGAGACTGTATCTTGTTAGGAGATGAATGGGAAACGGCCTGCTGAGCCCGGCCCGGGCCGCGTGGGGAAAAAGGGAAAGAAGGAGGTGATGGCGGAGTTTTCGGACGCTGTCACGGAGGAAACCTTGAAAAAGCAGGTGGCTGAAGCCTGGAGTCGCAGAGCGCCGTTCAGTCACGGTAACTGGGGGCTATGACGGCTGAGGCGCCGAGCGGGGGGTCTGAAGCAAAGCCCTGGGCAGCCGGGGCCACGAGGAACCGGGAGAACTTTGGCCGCCTCCGACCCTCCTCCCTCGGCTGCCACTCCTTTTCATTCTAAATTCAGTTTGGATTTAGAAACGCGAAAGAGGAGGAAACGTAGGCCGGAGAGTTTGGGAAAGTAGAGGCCTGCGAGTCGCCGATTATGGATTCAACTTTTTTAAACTTGAATTCCTTCTTATGTAAAAGGGGCTAATCGCGTTTACCTCGGAGAGGTGCCGAATGGGATTAGTAAACCCAGGCATTTACTTCGGTAAGGTTCCAGCCTGGGCATTTGGGGGGGGGGGGGGGGGCTGCCGAGAGAGCAGGTGCCTGCGCTTAACCCATTTTAACGTGGTTGGCTGCCTGACCTAGCAAAATACACGGGAAGGAAGATTGCAGTCTGAGCTTCAGACGTGACCTTACAGCATAGAATCCTGCTGACTGTGTCACGCGCTCCCTGGTTTCTGTTTTCCTTGTTAAGTGCTTTGAAGAGGCGTGTGGGGTGCCCTGGCTGCACTGGATGGTGATAGTTGAGTGTTTTGTGCGAGCTCCGAACGCTCAGGCGTCTCAGTTTCCTCGTCTAGAAGATGGGTATAGGGATAACGCCTACTGAGTTGCTGAGATTAAATGAGATAATACACCTAAACCACGTGGGTCTGGCTTGTAGTAGCTGAGTGGTGGTGATTAAGGGGCCATTCACAGTCCAGCCCGGCGGAGGCAGTGGGTAAAATGCTGGGATAGAAATTAAGGAACTAGAGGAGGTTATGCCTTACCTGGTGGGGGAGGGAGGTGGAGAGGACTCCTGTGTAAGGACTTCCTTGACAATAACTGGAGGAAAAATAAAGCAGGGCTAAAGAGGAACTGCCAGCCAGTGTTGCTACTCTTATTAGCTACTGTTATTTTAATATTGGGGGAAGTGAATTAAAAATCTAACATGCATTCAATTCAGTAAGTAATTGAAACTCAGAAAAAGGACAGAATCCTTGGTTGGCCGACATCACCTGTACTTATCTTAAGGACAAGTATTTTTAAATATTATATTTTTTAAAAAATAGCATTGAGTAGATAAAGAAAAGCTGAACTTAGCGATTCTTCCTCTAAATCTTAGAATTTAGGTGTTAGGTTCCCAAAACTTCATGACCATCGTCTTTTGTATTCCCTCTACTGTGTTAAAAAAGCCATATATGGTGTTTTCCTTCTAACAGAAGCCATTGTCATGGACGTGGACCCCTTTCTTCACTGTGTGATCCCAAACTTCATCCAAAGCCAAGACTTCTTGGAAAGGCTTCAGAAGGAACTTTTGAACTTGGACTTCCACGAGAAGTATAATGATTTATATAAGTTCCAACAGGTATTTTTGTGTTCAACTTGAATTTTTGCTCTTCTCCCTCAGAAACTTATTATCTATAAAAGACTTATGTACATTTCAGACTGAGTTTGCCTTAGAAGGTACTCATGTTGGCATTGTTAAAAACATTCTTCATTTAACAGAAGTTTACCAAGTATCAACTATGTGCTAATTGCTGTAATTATTATATGAGAGACTGACAGTTCTTTCCTGTAAGACTTTAAATTCTAAAATAATAAGGTTGATAGTGATATGACAGAAATAGTCAAGAAATAGATTAAGCTAATAAATAAGTACATTATAAGCAAGGGGGTGAAGTCCATTTTGGGGAGTGGTATGGTGAACAGAGGCATACATTGAGAGATAACAATCTTTTTAAAAGTGTTAAAGTTTTCTTATTTCTTTAAAAGGCAGAGCATCAGACAAAGAGGGAGATCTTCCATCTGTCAGTTTACCTCACAAATAGCTGCAACAGCCAGGAACTCTGGTTCTTCCACATAGGTAGCTGGGCCTAAGCACTTGGGCCATCATCCGCTGCTTTCCTGGGTGCATTAGCAGGGAATTTGTTTGGAAGTGGAGCCACTAGGACTCAAATCAGCATTCTGATATGAGATGCCAGCATGCAAGCAGCAGCTTAACCCACTATGCCACAGTGTCAGCCTCAGCCATTTAGAACCTGAGTTCCTGTCTGTGTTTTAGGTGGTTTGGATTCCAGTAGGTTCTGCATTGCAATATGTCTGCACCATTAAATCCATTCTTTTTGTTGTTGTTGTTGTTGTTTTAGTGGAAAATTTTAATTAGGCAGAAAAGTCTTTCAAGATGAAGGCTGATTTTACTACATGGCAGGTTCTCGGTATAGAAATATAGATCTTTGGTTTCCCCAGTTTAGGGGTATATTTTTCAGCCCATGAAATACATCACTCTTGGAAAGCCCTTAGAAAACCTCAAGGATGGGGCTGGCTCTGTGGCACCGCTGGTTAAAGCCCAGGCCTGCAGTACCAACATCCCATATGGGCACCAGTTCAAGTCCTAGCTGCTCCACTTCTGATCCAGCTCCCTGCTAATGTGCCTGGGAAAGCGGCAGAGGATGGCCCAAGTCCTTGGGCCCCTGCACCCACATGGGAGACCCAGAGGAAGCTCCTGGCTTCAGATAAATCTTAAAAAACAAAACAAAACAAAACAAAAAAAAACTCAAGGACATAAACACTTAAGATTCCAAAAAGTAAATAAAGATGAAAAAGTCATATTGCTTTCTTTGCATTTTCCTTTCGATTTCACCTGGAATGAGAGAATATCTAACAAATTTCTCTTTGTTTTGTTCTGTTACACCAGAGCTAATAGTCTGGTCGGTGGGTGACAACCCTGCCCCACTGTATATGTGATTTAATTAACCAGATTACACACATAAATTATATGAATCTTGATAATTCAGAAAATCTAAGAAAAAAATTTCTTAAAAAGTCATTTATTTTTCTTAATTTACATATTTGAAAGGCAGAGATACAGAGAGATCTTCCATCTGCTGGTTCACTCCCCAAATGGCCATAAAGGCCTGGGCTGGGCCAGGTTGAAGCCAGGAGCTTCTCCCAGGTCTCCCAGCTGGGTGTCAGGGCCAAATACTTATGCCATCTTCTTCTGCTTTCCCAGGTGCATTAGCAGGAAGTTGAATTAGAAGTAAAGCATCTGGGACTCAAACTAATGCCTGTATGGATTGCTGGCACTAAGGCGAAGGCTTAACCTTCTATGCCACAGCACTAACTCCAAGATTCATATATTTATTTGAAAGAGTTACAGAGAAAGAGATCTTCTGTTTGCTGGTTCACTCCCCAGATGGCCCCAACAGCCAGGGCTGAGCCTGGACAAGGCCAGGAGCTTGTTCCAGGTCTCCCATATGGTGGCAAGGCCCCAAACCCTTGGGTCATCTTCTACTCCTTTTCCCAGCCATTAGCAGGGAGCTGGATCAGAAGCAGAACAGCAGAGACACAAACCAACACCCATGTAGGCTGCCGATATCGTGGGCAGTAGCTTTATTCCCTGTGCCTCAACGCTGGCCCCTTTTTTTAGACTTATTTACTTATATGAAAGAGTTAAAGAGACGGAACAAAGAAAATTAAACTTTTATCCATTGTAAAGTTGCATGTGCAAATTCAAGTTATCTGCCTTTGAATTGTACCGACTTGGATAACACTAGGCTTCTTATTGATTTAATACCATATGCAACTCTGGTTACTAAAATTGAGACATCAGAGTGGTTTTTACTTAATGAAATATAGCAGATAAAAATACTTCTGTGAAGTGAGTAAAAGGCAAAATAATAAAAAGTGATTAAAAATAATAAAGAATGGCGGGCTGGCATTGTGGCATAGTGGGTAAAGCCACTGTCTATGATGCCAGCATCCCTTATGGGTGCTGGTTCATGTCCTAGCTCCTTCTCTTCTGATCCAGCTCCCTGCTAATCCCCTGGGAAAGCAGCAGAGGATGGCCCAAGTGTTTGGGCCCCTGCCAAATAAATAAATAAATCTAAAAAAAAAAAAAACCTAGACACAAGATGACTACATGTTGTATGATTGCATTTATAGGTTCTGTTCTAGACTAGGCAACTACAGGAAGTGGATCAGTGGCTTCCAGAAGTTGGGGAAGTAGAGAATAGGAAGTAACTGCTTAAGGGTGCAGTGTTTCTTTTGGAGGTGATAAAAGGTTCTAGAATTAGATAGTGTTGATGGTTGCCCAACATTTTCTATCATTATCTGAATTACACACTCTCAAATGGCTAAAATGGTAAATATTCTATTATATACATTTTATCTCAATAAAAATATGTAAATGAATCATATTTCACCTTTACTCAAAATTTCCAGTGATTCCTCATTTCTTTGAATACAAGCCAACATACTTAAAATGGCCATAGCCCCCATTACCTCTGGCCTCATTTTATGCTGCTGCCACCCGCTCACACTCTGCTACTCACTCTTCCTGTGGTTTCTTGAATAGGCCAGACATGTTTCATGCTGAGGGCCTAGAATGCTCTTTGCCCAGGTAGTCCCTTGGCACACTTCCTGGCCTCCTTCAGATCTTCGCACCACCTCTCTGAAGCCCACTCTGGCCACCCTACTTACAAAATTGCATACTCCTCCCCACTGTAAACACTCCCTGTCCCCCTTCTGGTGGCTTTTTTCCTACATGCTAATCACCTTCTATATGCTGCTAATCTGTTTTCAGTTCATTGTCTATTTCTGAAAGCAAACATAAACTTCTCTGTAATAACTACTTAAGTCTTTGTAGAATGAATAAGGCACAGAGAGCCCAAGTAACTTGCCTGTGACACAGAGCTTCCAGATGGAAGAGCCCTGTATCAAGCCTCGGCCATCTGACCTTAGAGTCTAGACTCCTAACCACAACGCTATGTTGCCACAACACTCAGTAAACTACTCTCTTTTTCTCCATAAAATAAATTCTCTTTTTCTTTTTTCATGGTCAAGTCTGATGATTTGAAGAAGAGAAGAGAGCCTCATATTTCTGCTTTAAGGTAAAGTTATCATATTTGTTGGGTGCCTAATAAGTGCCAGGCAGAGAAGGAAGTTCTTTATTTTTTTTAAAGATTTATTTTATTCATTTGAGAGGTAGAGTTACAGACAGTGAAAGGGAGAGACAGAGAAAAAGGTCTCCCTTCTGTTGGTTCACTCTCCAACGGCCGCAACAGCCAGAGCTGCACCAATCTGAAGCCAGGAGCTTCTTCCCAGTCTCCCATGCGGGTGTAGGGGCCCAAGCACTTAGGCAATCTTTCACTGCTTTCCCAGGCCATAGCAGAGAGCTGGATTGGAAGAAGAGCAGCTGGAACTAGAACCAGTGCCCATATGAGATGCTGGCACTGCAGGTGGAGGATTAACTTAGTGAGCCACGGCGCCGGCCCCCAGGAAATTCTTTAAATATTATGTCCTGTAAACTTTGTTAACATTATTATCCCATTTTATAGAGGAAGAAACAGACTCAGTAAATAATCTCTTTTACCTCACTAAAATTAAGGGAGCTAAGATTCAAAGCCAAGTCTGTTTCCAAGGCCGAAGTTCTCAATGGTAAAACATTCAACTTTGTTAGTAATCAAGGAAACACAGATTAACACCGGCAATACCTTTTTTTAAATGGAGATACCACTTTTACATGGTGGATTAGCCAGTATTAAAAATGAAAACTTCATGTTGACAGAGTATAGATACCTCAAGGGTACTTCAGAAAGTTCATGGATAACTGGTATTCAAAGATAAGTTTATTTATATGCAAAAAGTTTTTTGAAATCTATGCATAAGTTTTTTATAAACTTTTAAAATCGCTTATATACTACTGCAGTCTTTCTTAGATAGTTTTGAAAGACAAATGAAAATCCCTAAAACTATGAATGTCTTCTTGTAGAGTTCTGATAAAGTACTTGAGGATATGCTCAAACATTCCATATGGGATTGTTACAGTGTTGTGTATAACAACGAAAAATTACACACAAGCATTTTCCAAATGCTTGGGTATTATAGTTAGGTGGTTTGCCCTAGGATTGTCATACAACACACTCAAAGTTGGTTGGAGGAATTGCTGTAGAACCTTCAAAACTGGGTTCACCAGCCCAGGGCACAGTAAGCCAATTACACTGGGGTAGTAGCAGAGAGGAGTGAACAACTGCCCTGGGGGACAAAGCTCAGAGCAAGGAGCTGGGCAGTGACTGCATTATTGCAAGACTCCTCAAGGAGTGAGCGGCAAAGCTACTTACAGACTGAAGTTAGGATTGACAGGTGCACTCAGTTCATGTCCAGGTCCCTGGTTGGTCATGTCCTTTGGGGAATTTTATTGGTGACAGTAGGCCCAGTCAGCCAGATGGTAGTCACTTCTTGCTCAGGACCTGGGGTTCCTGGAAAAGGAACCCCTCAAGTCAAGACTGAACGTCAGGATGTTGTCCATCGGGGAGATCAGTGACCTCATGAGTCTTGTGTTCAGGCGCCTGGAGGGCCACCCGTACCATGCCCTCGTTTCAGTGAGAGGTTGATTTCCATTCATAAAAGCAGGACGAGGAAACTTTACAGGAAATAGACTGAGAGAGACCAGGACCTGATGATATCCAGCTCTGCATCAAAGGCACTTTACAGGGGCTTGGTTCTAGGATGACTTATAAAATATTAAGTAGATTCATGTGCATAATGTGAACTAATGTAAATATTTTAAAATGTTTTTAATTCATCATAGTTAACAGTCTTCTCATGGTTGATTGGCTGAGTGTGAGTTATGAACTCAGATTGCTACAGAAAGCCAGTTAAGCTGTTAAATGGAATTGTTCACTGCCTTTTATCGCTGTCCTGTTAGCATCAGAATGTCTGTGAAAGATTGTACTCTTGTGCAGTTAGTTTACTGTTACTGCAATATAAAGTAATTGAAATCTTCTACAACAGTGCCACCCAGCTGTTCATTAAATAGTAGTGCTAGTATGAGTGCTCGTGATATTGTGATTTATAAGAAATAAATATGTTTGGTCTTAGTCTCCCTTCCTGACACAGCTTCTGAAACCACTGCATTTTCCCAAGTGAAATCAATGAAGGTGAATGGAGCGTCTTTTGTTATTCATAAACAAATCCCTTGTAATAACACTGTGCTTCTATTCATGAGGTGAATTTTGCAAAGCCCAAAGAATGAGGGAGGTGCTGGTTGTTAGGGGAGCCAGCCATGGCTAGCTAGATGGCTAGAACTTCAGTCCAAACCACTGAAACCTCCACCTCCACAAGGGAAGAGGTGCTGATGGCTGGTTAAATTAATCACCAGTGGCCAATAGTTTAATCCATCATGCCTGTGTATTAAAGCCTCCATAACATTTGCTAAGTACTGAGTACCGGAAGGTAGTGCAAGTGGCATGAACGTGGCCCTATTCCAATACTTTGCTTGAAGCATGTTTTACATGTGAATATCCCTGAATTGTATCCTTGTGTTATAATCTACTAAGTAAACTGTCTAGCAGATGATCACATCGGAGGCAGGGGTTGTGGGAACCTCTGATTTATAGCTAGTCCAGTGAAAACATGTCAGCCTGCACTTGTGATTGGTGTCAGAAGTTGGAGGGGCAGTCCTATGGGACTGAGCGCCTAACCTGTGCTAGCCCTGGAAGCTAGTGTCAGAGCTGAATTAAACTGTAGGATACCCACCTGGTGTCTTGTCAACCAAGAGAAACAGGCTGTATGCAAACATTAACAGGTTTACTCAGGGAAGAATAGGAGTGACCTGGGCCTGGAAGACACAAGTCCAACAACTTTGAATGACTTGGGAAGTGACCAGAAGTCATCAAATTCTCGTCAGAATTTCTAAATTCCATGACAGTTAATGTTCATGCATCATTACACAGTGAGCATACATCAGCTGGAGCCAAAAAGGCAGTCTCTAGGTAAGGGGGGTGGGGGGAGGGCAAGTTTCTTACAGGTTGAAGATTACCGTTTTTAGAGCATAATTAGTCATTTAAAGTAATTTCAGATTAGTCCCAAACATTCTTTAGAGGCAGGGTATGCTGAATAGAAGACTGCCAATTAATTGAGAAAGGACATTTCTGGGAATAGATAAGGACAGTACAGGTGAAGGGTGAAGCCCGGCACAAGGTTGCTCCAGATGGCTAAGCTGAAACAATGTGCAGATCACCCAAGGATTAACAACGCTGCCCCTACCTCCTCAGACAGGTCTCCCTGTGTGTTTCTGTTGAATGCTTTGCAGGTTTTTATAGGAGCAGTTTGTTCTCATGGCAAAGGATCAGTCAGTGTGGGAAGGAACTACTCTTTGTTGAAAGTGAACTGTGCAAACAAAAACAGTTGAGCTTTCCATTTTAGTGCTGAAATGTATATCTAAACATTAGTAATTTGGAATGGAACACTGATATGGTAAATTGTTAGAACAGAGATCAAACTGCTGGGGCAGAGGGCATACCTTAAGTTTAAGGGGAAGAAAGTACTGAGAAAAGGAAATACTAAGCAAAATTGTGCTATAGTAGGTAGATATTTACATTTATTCATCTGGGACCACCAGTCTTAAACTATCCAAGTTTAAACTGACAACATCTGTCAGGATCTCTTGAATGAAATCTGAGAATGACGAAATCTCTTGAATAAAGTGTGACCTCCAGGAAAGAATTGCTATGGCATAGATCCAAATAGAGCCCACGCTGTGGCATAACAAATTATCTTCCATTATGTTTCTAGGAAACTTCTGTTTGAAGATTTCCGAGCCTGGCTTTCTGACATTTCTAAGATTGACCTGGAACCAACTATTGACATGTCCTGTGCTAAATATGAATTCACTGGTAAGGAACATAAGGCTCTGTAAGACTTAAAGGCTTCACTAACACCGATGGAAAGATGGTACCAAAATACTAGCCTGAATGTCCCCGTGTAGCATAGGATTTCCCTAATAAGGATCTGCCTTATATAGACATACAAAAGATACCCAACATATTGGAAGGCTCTTTTTGAGAACTGTTGACAAGATGCTTGTAGTTTACCTACATACCAGCTTTTGATATAATATCAGGAAATTCAGGGGTGATATTAGAAACTTGTCTTCGACTTCCTTTTCTTAGGAAGTCCTTTCTTGGGAATCATGGTTCTCAATGCTATTTTTCCAGATCTTTTATTTTGAAAGTAGTAAGTGACAACATTCTTAAAGGAGAAAAGTCAAACATTGGAGAAGCACACAGTGTGAACTGTCCTCAGCTCCTTTACCTCCCTGCCCCTTTTCTCTTCATTGGTGTCCTTTGTCACCAGTTTGGTGACATCCTTCCACTTCTCTTTTGCAGTGCATAAATGGCATTTTGAAAACAAGTATCATTTTTCACTTAGAAGGGAAAGTATGTTTTTGATTTTAAAGGATAACTTGGTGATACATATGGAAAAGTTATGTTATATATGTTATTCAACTATATATATATTTTTTAATTTAAAGTAATTTCAGATTACAGAAAAGTGTCAAGAGAGTCCAAGTAATTTTCTTCCTCTTAGCCGGCGCCGTGGCTCAATAGGCTAATCCTCCACCTTGCGGCGCCGGCACACCGGGTTCTAGTCCCGGTTGGGGCGCCGGATTCTGTCCCGGTTGCCCCTCTTCCAGGCCAGCTCTCTGCTATGGCCAGGGAGTGCAGTGGAGGATGGCCCAGGTGCTTGGGCCCTGCACCCCATGGGAGACCAGGAAAAGCACCTGGATCCTGGCTCCTGCCATCGGATCAGCGCGGTGCGCCGGCTGCAGCGGCGGCCATTGGAGGGTGAACCAACGGCAAAGGAAGACCTTTCTCTCTGTCTCTCTCTCTCACTGTCCACTCTGCCTGTCAAAAATAAAAAAAAAAAAAAAAATTTTTTCTTCCTCTTTTACTTAAGTTGCTGTCGTGCTGTTGTGTGATCCCTGAGTACTTGAGTAATTCCTGTGACAAGGACATTCTCCCACATGATAGTTACAAACCATCTATGTCAGGAAACTAGCATTGATGTGTTACTCCCATCGCATCCACAAGCCCCATTCCAGTTTCATTATTTAGTCCTTTATAAAAGCAAAAGGACCCAGAACATTACATTTATTTATTATTACTTATGAGGCCTCTCAGTCTGTAGCAATTCCCCAGTCTTTCCCAGCCTTTCATGATCTTGCTGCTTCTGAAGGACTTACAGATACTATGTAATCTGCCTCAGGCTGGGTTTGTCTGATGTTTCCTCATTGTTAGATTCAAGATATGCAGTTCTCTGCAGGAATAATTACAGAATTAATGCTGTATTCTTTTCCTTCTTCCTTCGTTCCTTCCTTCCTTCCTTCCTTCCTAAGATTTATTTATTTGAAAGGCAGAGTGACAGAGAGAGAGAAAGAAAGATCTTCCATCTACTGATTTACTCTGCAGTGGCCGGAGCTGAAGCCAGGAGCCCAGAGATTTATCCAGGTCTCCCACATGGGTGCCAGGGATCCAAGTACTTGGGCCATCTTCTGTTGCTTTCCCAGGTTCCTTAGCAGGGAGCTGGATCTGAAGTGGAACAGCTGGGACTTGAACCGATGTTATGGGATGCACCACAACTCCGGCCCCAATGCTGGGTTCTTTTCATTGCATCCTTTTAGGTGGTACAAGGGTTCTCTGTGTCCATTATTAGTGATATTAACTTTGATCATTTGATTAAGGGGTTGACTGACATCAGTTTTTATACTGTTCATTTTCTCCATCAGTTATTATGTATTTTGGGGGAGATATTTTATGTAAATGTCCATTTCTCACCAAATTTTGATTCACTTCTTTTAGCATCCAGTGATGTCACTGGCTAAATTATAACTATGAAGATTGCCAAATGATGATTTTATAGTTGTCATTCCACTGGAAAGAAAATCTTTCTTTCTACCCATTATACATTCATTCATTTATTTATATTTGTATTAATTTTTGGTTTACTATTTATGAAATGGCTATTATCAGGTATTACCACTATATCGGTATTTATGTTGTTGCCAGTTTAATCAAGGAAAACCCCCTCTGATTTGTGTGTGCTTTTGTTATGTCCCCATCATTCTTTCATTTTTTGTTTTGTGTAAAGGAAGATATACCAAGTTTATATTGTGTTTTCCATGTTCAGGTTCTCAATGACCTGGAGTTGGGCCATTTTTCAAAGGATCCTGATTTTTTTTAGTGGAAAATAAATGATACTTAAAAATGAGATTTGGGAGCTAACCCACTGCTTGCAACACCAGCATCCCATGTCAGACTGCCAGTTCAAGTCCCAGCTACTCTGCTTCTAGTCCAGCTCCCTGATAATACACCTGGGAAAGCAGCTGGCTTAAATCCTTGGCATGGAGTTCCTCTCTCTCTCTTCTATTCTGTCAGTTTGCCTTTCATATAAATAAAAAATCAGATAAAATTTTTAAAAAATCATTATCTGGACTGTAGCTGCGTTTGCTATTAGGGGGTCACTGCTCCCATATCCTTGCAGTGAAAAGAGGTAGCAAACGTATGTATGCATTTACATTTTACATGCACATGTGGATACATACACATATTTACACTTACATATATATATATTTACACTTACATATATATATATATATTTTACAGGCAGAGTGGACAGGGAGAGAGAGAGAGACAGAGAGAAAGGTCTTCCATTGCCGTTGGTTCACCCTCCAATGGCCGCCGCACTTGGGCCAACCTCCACTGCACTCCCTGGCCACAGCAGAGAGCTGGCCTGGAAGAGGGGCAACCGGGACAAAATCCAGTGCCCCAACCGGGACTAGAAACCAGTGTGCCAGCGCCGCAAGGCGGAGGATTAGCCTATTGAGCCGCGGCGCCGGCCAACTTACATATATTTTTAAACCTCTATATCTATACAGGAAACTAGATTCACATTGATTCCTTCAGTTCCAGTTGACCACCACAGAATTAATGATAGACTTCTCCTTTTCTATATTTGTAATTCCCTTCTTCAACAGTGAAAAGACCTGACTGCATCATCCCCTATGTATACATTTATTTGGGGGAGGGGGAATCCCTCCCTGTCTAAGTGGTCTCAGTTCACTGTAGCCTTCCCCTCTCCTTTCACCTTGCATGGATGGCTACCATGCTCAGCCCCTCCTAATGGCTTCTAGAAGGTTAAGTTAAAAAAAAATTAATAGGAACAAGTATAAAAGTATCTATATACATAATATTCATTATAATGTTCTTTATAATAGCCAAGAAAAAGAACCAGTTAACAAATAGGAAATTGATTAAATAAGGGAGGGAGGTAAATTCATAATCTATATAGTAGAATAGCTGTACAACCATTTAAAGTGATGTCAAGGGAGCAAACATTTAGCCCAGCAGTTAAGATGCCTGCATTCCACTTCAAAGTTCCTGGGTTCGAGTCTTGGCTCTGGCTCCTGACTTCAACTTCTTTCAGTATAGTCCCTGGGAGGCAGCAGTGCCACCCACGTGGGAGACCTAGATTGTGCTCCTGGCTCCAGCCCTAGCCCAGCCCCATCCATTGTTGGCATTTGGGGAGTGAATTAGTGGATAGGAGTGCATGCTGTATCTGTCTCTCTCCCTCTGTCACCCTCCCATAAATAAAATTGTTTTATATTTTTAAATGCTGTCAAGTGTGTATTGATATGGAAAGACATTTGCTGTGTAATTAAACAAAACAGGCCACAAACAACCACTGAGCCACTGTAGGATGCCATATTTTACAAAGCAAATACACATATATAGGAAAGATACTACATGCAAAAATAGTTAGTAGCTGCTATTTATATTTGTGTTTTTCTGTTTTTAAGATTTCTTTATTGAATTTTATTTTTTCACTTAGAAAAGGAAAAAGAAGTGTCATTTTAACATGACATTTAATATGACTATCAGATAAACTAATAATAAATGCAGAATCGGGTGGCAGCTGCTGTTGTCTGTGCAGGGGTCTAAGGTGTGCATTAAACCATTGCAGATGCCCTATTATGCCATGATGATGAGCTGGAAGGACGCCGGATCGCCTTCATTCTGTACCTCGTACCTCTTTGGGACAGGAGCTTAGGGGGCACCCTGGACCTGTACAACACTGATGGTAAGGCAGTCATGCTCGTCACCCCCAGTGACCACTTCTGAATTAGAACCAAGTTGATTTAATATCACCATGCTCCTATATAATATCTGTGCTCCTCTGAGGAAGTGAAAGCTATTTGTAATAGTGGCTGCCTTAGGAGGAATAATGTCAGTTAGGCAACCAGCCACCTTGTTAAGTTGTACTTAACATAGTCCTTACCCAGTGATAAATTAAAATCAGTTTGAGATAGGATCCTGCTTCTGAGTGCTGACCATGGAAAGGCGGAACACATTACAAAGGTAGCTGTAACTAAGCATCTGCCAGGACCAGTCTGTTTGACAAGAAGTCAGGATTTTGTTTAATGACTGACACCACAAGGTATCTCCAGGAAACTTTGAGCACTCACTCTGGCCCTCATCAATAATAGATGGATGATATAAAGAACTGATACCACCTAGCAGAAAAGCAAGTATGCATGAAAGAGATGGAATTTTGTGGTTTCGTAGAGTCTGAAGAGTACATCTTGGTACCCTCAGAAATTTGAGAATTGTCAAGAGTGAAATGAGCAGCCTGCAAGTGGTTAATGACAATGAACCACATTTACGGATGTGTTCTCTCCTGGTGCAGAACACTTTCAGCCGAAGCAGATTGTCAAGTCTCTTGTCCCTTCGTGGAACAAACTGGTTTTCTTTGAAGTGTCTCCAGTATCCTTTCACCAGGTAAAGACTGTAAGCCACAAATGTATGGAGTACTAAAGATCGTGGTTTTGAGACACCCATAATCCAAATGTGGTAGTTTCTTGTGGGGCTTGTTTCCATACCCAGCATGGAGGATCCTGAAGTCCGTGCGCATTGGTTGGCAACCTCCTCATTCCGTGTTGCTGACCTTCCTGCTGGCCTTGTCCTTTCAGGTGGCTGAAGTCCTCTCTGAGGAGAAGTCGCGCTTGTCTATAAGTGGCTGGTTTCATGGTCCTTCGTTAACCAGGCCTCCCACCTACTTTGAACCCCTCATTCCTCGGAACCCTCACATCCCACAAGATGTAAGGAAAATTATTTGGATTCTTTATCTTAGGAGCTGTAGCATATCATTCATTTTTCTCATTTTAAAAGTTAGCTATTCCCAATGATGAAACTGGACTTTGAGCTTGCCCCTTCCACTTGCCATGGATAGACTTTGATAGACTTTTGATAGTGTCTTTCCCAGGCAGTTTTCTAGTACTTTATGTTTGATAGGAAAAACTTATAAAGTGAAGACTTGCATGTATCTCACTATTGTGAAATGATGTAAGAACAAAAGCTATAGGAAGTTAATACATCTTTTAAATCTGATTCTTTGTAAGCATGAAATTTTGTATGATTGGATCAATCCTACTTATCTGGACATGGATTACCAAGCTCAAATTCAAGAAGAGTTTGAAGAAAGTTCTGAAATTCTCCTGAAGGAGTTTCTTAAGGTAGGGCAGCATTTCCTGTTCATCTTGTTTGGCGGTCTTGCTTCCTGAATGGGTAAAGAGGCATCATCAAAAGCTTTTGTTTTGAAAATATAGAAATGATAATAGCTAACTCTGGTTATCAGTTGTATGATTAGTGAGGTAAAAGTCCCCTGGGTATTCCATTAGTCTTTAGAGTCTCGCCAGTACCTGTACACACATACACACACACACACACAGACACACACACACACACACACACGTAGAAGCTTCCACCCTAAAAGGGAATTATGTATAGTTATCTTTCTATTCATTTGATAAATGTAGTGCTTATTATTACTTAAAAAAATTTTTTAAGATTTATTTATTTGAAAGGCAGAGAGAGGGAAGGAGGGCTGCAATGACCCAGGCTGAAGCCAGGAACCAGGAGCTTCTTCTGGGTCTCCCACATGGATACAGGGCCTCAAGTCCTCAGGCCCTCTGCCACTGCTTTCTCAGGCTCATCAGCAGGGAGCTGGATCAGAAGTGGGGCAGCCGGGATTCAAACCAGCACCCATATGGGCTGCCAACACTGCAGGTGGAGGCTTAACCTTCTATGCGACAGTGCTAGCCCATACTTAAAAATATTTTTATTAATTTGTCTTCATTTTATTTGAATAACACAAAGATAGAAATCTTCCATCTGGTGGTTTATTCCCCAAATTCCCTCAAATAGTCAAGACCGAAACCAGGGACCCAGAACTCACTATGAGTCTCCTACATGGGTAGCAGGAACCCAAACTTGAGCCATCATCTGCTGCCTCTCAGGGCATGTATTATCAGGAAGGTAGATTAGAAGTGGAGGAGCCAGGACTCAAACCCAGCACTCTAATGTGGGGTGTGGGCAAACCAAGCAGCAACTTAACCATTGCACCAAATACTCCTTACTACTGTTTTTCTTTTAATGTTTATTTAAAAGGCAGAATAATAGAGACTTTGTATCTACCAGCCCGATTCCTATCAGCTAGGGTAGGCCAGACCAAAGCCAGAAGCTTACAACTTCATCTGGGTCTCCCACTTGGGTGCCAAGGGTCCAAGCACGTGAGTTATCTGCTGCCTCCCAGGATGCATGAGAAGGAAGCTGTATCAGAAGAATAGCCAGAACTCAAACCAGCACTCCAAATGGGATGCTACTTTGTCACTACCCTTGCCCCATTTTTGCTTTTAATAATAGACTATTAATGAATATTTGACAATGATGAGATAACTTATTATCATGGAAGGAAATCAGAAGTCAGACAGTCTCTATTCATGTCCTGTCTGTGGTCTTAATAACCTGAGCAAATCACTGAATCTAATTATACAATCAGACCTTCCTTGCCTTCCTTGCAGAGTTGTTCTGGGGGCCAAATGAAGTGACACATGCTGATAGGGTGAATCAGTTGACCTTGGGTCCCAGGTAATCATGATCTCAAAAGCTGTTCCTCCATGAAAAAGGGTTGAGAAATCTACCTATTATCTCACTGTCTTGGAATGTTTGTAGCTGACATTAGCATATTATAGAAGTTGACAAATGTAGTAAATAAGCTTGTTTAACACTGTTTAACTGAGTTTCCTCCATGGTATGGGAACCTTCCTTTTTCACTTATTTGCAGCTGACAGGACTCCTTAGGAAACCACGTGGAACTACATGGAATACATAAATGTAAAGCCTCTTGTGGAGTATTTCAATACATTCACCAGCTTCTTGTAGTGACTTCTCAGGTTTAGAATGCTTAGTAAATGAAGGATCAAACTGAACCTAAGAATCTATTTTTATTTTACTGTATTTATTTGAGAAGCAGAGAGTGATAAATAGAATTCCCATCCATTGGCTCACTCCGCAAATGTCCACAACAGCCGGGACCAAAAACACAACTCAAGTGTCCCACAAGAGTGGGAGGAACAATATCATTGCGGCATCACCATTGCCTCCAGGGGCTGTGTAAGCAGGAAGCTGGAGTCAACAGCTGAAACCAGGAATCAAAACCAGCAATTCTGTGGTCCTGCTAGGCTAAATGCCCACTCCTAAGAACCTGTATTGCTACACAAAAATTTTTATTATAATGACATGGACTCCAATACAGTTTAGTTATAAAGAATTATGACTATTTTGTAAATACAGGAACTTGAAGGTTTAGCGTTTTGACATGAGATGTAGTATTACTTAAGGGAGTGAACCAAACTGGCCCTTAGGTCTCTTAGCTAAAGCAAGCTGATTTATCTAGTCTTTGCCCTGGCTTCACAACAGCAGGAGCAGGGGATCTCGTGTGAAAGGGATGACAATCAACTGGACCTTTTAGGGGTCAGCCAGACTGATGCTCTACCAAGCTGCTAACATCTGCCAAACCAGTATGGGATCTTAAGATTTACTAATTACTTCTTTATTTTCCCATTGTCCAGCCTGAGAAATTTGCAAAGGTCTGTGAGGCCTTAGAGAAAGAAGATGTGAAATGGAGCAGTCGAGGTCCTCCTAACAAAAGGTAGAACCTAGCGTCCAAGACATTCGCTTCTGTGTTCAATACCTTTTTGTCTCCAAGATTCATCTCCAGTAAAAGGACATTTGCCCTAATGAGGTTTTGTTCCCAAGGACATCCAGTAGCAGGCCCTAACAAAATCTCACTCTTGTAACAACTTGTGCTTTTGAAAGGTATGCCAAAATTTCACAAGACAGATACAAAACTATGATCAGCTTTCTTTCTTTTTTTTTTTAAGATTTATTTTACTTACTTGAAAGGCAGAGTTACAGAGAAAGGAGAGACATCTTCCATCCACTGGTTCACTCCCCAAATGGCTAAAATAGCCACGGCTGGGCCAGGCTAAAGCCAGGAACCTGGAACTCCACCTAGCTCTCCCATGTAGATGGCAGAGGCTCAAGCACTCAGGCCATCTTCCACTGCTTTCCCAGGTACATTAGGAGGTAGCTGGATCAGAAATGCAGCGGCCAATACTTGAACTGGTGCTCATGTGGGATGCTGGTATAGTAGGTAGCGAGTCAACCCACTGCACCACAATGCCAGCCCCTCATGATCGGCTTGTATTCCATGAGTAATTTATGGCTTTGATGAACAAGTCAGCATTGCTTGCTTTCAGGTTTTATGAGAAAGCTGATGAAAGTACACTTCCTGATATCCTGAAGCTCTGCATGGAGTTATTTCGCTCCGAGGCAATGTTCTTGCTGCTCTCCAACTTCACAGGCCTGAAGCTTCACTTCTTGGCCCCTTCAGAGGAAGATGAGACTGACGACAAAAAGGAGGGAGAAGCAGCCTCTGTTGCAAATAACTCGGAAGAAGGGACCAGCCAGAGCTCCTCTGAGCCTGAAAATGAGGCAGCCATCAGCAACAACAGCCAGCAGACTGATGGCCAAATAGAATCACAGTCAGAGGAAAAGGAAGCAAAAAAAGGTATGCTGTTGTTAGGATTCCTCCTTAACCACTCACCGGTGAGTGACATGTTCGCTGGACAAATGGTTCTTGAGTGACTACTGTTAGACTAAGCTGGAGAACAAAACACAAGGGCAGGAGAGGACGGGTTCACAGTATACATGAACAACAGGAAAACATCAGATGACGCTAAGTGCCATACAGAACATTGAAATAAAGTGTAAAAAGGCATGGCTGAGCAGATGGATGATCTGGAAAAACCTCTCTGAGGAGCTGTCATTTCAGCTGAGATCTGAGTGACAGGGAGGATTCGTGGGAAGAGCATTCTAGGGAGGAGGCACAGCTGATACCTCCTGTTAGGCTAAGAGTAGCACAAGTAGGGGCTGGTGCTGTGGCGTAGTGGGCTAAGCCTCCACCTACAGTGTCAGCATCCCATATGGGCTCCAGTTCTAGTCCTGGCTGCTCCTCTTCCAATCCAGCTCCCTGCTTCCTTTTTTTTTTTTTTTTTTTTAATGTATTTATTTGAGAGGCAAAGTTGCAGGCAGCATCAGGGAGAGACAGAGAGAAAGGTCTTCCATCCTCTGGTTTACTCCCCAAATGGCTGCAATGGCTGGAGCTGAAGCTGATCTAAAGCCAGGTGCCAGAAACTTCTTCCAGGTCTCCCATGTGGGTCCAGGGGCCCAAACAGTTGGGCCATCTTCTGCTGCTTTCCCAGGTGCATTAGCAGGAAGCTGGATCAGTTCTCTGCTACAGCCTGAGAAAGCAGTGAAAGATGGCCCACGTCCTTGGGACCCTAGACCCACATTGGTAGACCCTGTTGAAGCTCCTAGCTTCGGATCAGCCCAGCTCTGCCCGTTGCGGCCACTTGGGGAGCGAACCATTGGATGGAAGACCTTTCTGTCTGTCTCTCCCTCTCTCTTTTTTTTTTTTTTTTTTTTTTTTTTTTTTTTTTTTTTTTATTTTTGACAGGCAGAGTGGACAGTGAGAGAGAGAGACAGAGAGAAAGGTCTTCCTTTGCCGTTGGTTCACCCTCCAATGGCCGCCGCGGCCAGCGCGCTGCGGCCGGCGCACCGCGCTGATCCGATGGCAGGAGCCAGGAGCCAGGTGCTTTTTCTGGTCTCCCATGGGGTGCAGGGCCCAAGCACCTGGGTCATCCTCCACTGCACTCCCTGGCCACAGCAGAGGGCTGGCCTGGAAGAGGGGCAACCGGGACAGAATCCGGCGCCCCGACCGGGACTAGAACCCGGTGTGCCGGCGCCGCTAGGCGGAGGATTAGCCTATTGAGCCACGGCGCCGGCCCTGTCTCTCCCTCTCTCTATCTGTAACGCTGCCTCTCAAAAAAAAAAAAAAAAAAAAGCACAAATAATGGAGACAAATATGGCTAGCCCTGGCTAAAATTTGTCTAAAACACAAGGCCATAAAGGAGAGAAAGGTTAGCAGTTTATTTCTGCTAAGTACCAATAACAGCCTAAGAAAATTGCCTAAATTTTGACAAGCAAACAGAAGGAAATTATTATAAGTAAAGAAATTTTATTATCTGCAATAAGAGGGAAGAGAGAAAATACAAGAAAGTTAAGAGGTAGCACTTCTGAGAAAGTTGGCACTGTCAGCTGAGCTGTGGCACATGCTCTGTGGTGTCTCAGCACCCGCCCGTGGGCTAGAGACCCTGTCACCTGCTCCTCTCCTCAGTTTCGCGTCCTCTGCTTCCACTTGAGGTCCTGGAGAAGGAGCCTGTGGAGTAGCAGACCAAGGGCAAGGGGTAGATTCCTGTGGAAACGAAGCCAGCGCTGTAAGATGCTGACCAGACGCAACATAACTCGTTCTTGGGAATAGACTAGGAAAATCCAACACTTTGTCTATGCTGTTCGATACACAGGTCAGCCTTTGAAAGATTAGTTTTCCTTGATAATTGATAATGGCATCTGTGCCTAGACTCTAAATGGAATTGGAGTGAAGACCAGTAGGCTTTTAAAAGATCAAGGACTTAAAAATCCTGTATCTGTCCACCTCTTTTCCTTTTTGGTTTTTTATTTTATGGGAATGAGCAACTTGGGAAAAAAACCTATGTGGGTACCAAAAAATGCCTTGCTTGTTAGTGAGCATCCATTGAATGTAAGACCCTAGGCCAAAACAGAGTGAAGAATACAAAATTGCATGAAAAAGATCACAGTTTACAAAGTTTACTATCTTGAAGAACACTATAAAGATTTTTCAGTTTAATAAAAACTATAAAATGGCTAAGCATATAATATTAGTGTCAAATGTTGTTGTAGCTACGATATGTCTAGTGAGATAACCAGACGCGCTATAGACCTGGCTGTTTTAAGGTTGATTTTAATTAATAAAAATACATCAATTTCAGTAACTACAAGGAAAATAATAATTCCCTACAGGTAGCTACCTTTAGCATTTATAATCCCTTGATCTTTTTGCTATGTAGTATACACATATCTCTGTGTCACATTTTTAATGAGATTTTTTTTTTTCTTGACAGGCAGAGTTAGACAGTGAGAGAGAGACAGAGAGAAAGGTCTTCCTTTCCGTTGGTTCACCCCCCTAATGGCCACTACGGCCAGCGCGCTGCGGCCGGTGCACCGCGCTGGTGCAAAGCCAGCAGCCAGGTGTTTCTTCCTGGTCTTCCATGCGGGTGCAGAGCCCAAGCACTTGGGCCATCCTCCACTGCACTCCCGGGCCACAGCAGAGAGCTGGACTGGAAGAGGAGCAACCGGGACAGAATCCGGCGCCCCAACTGGGACTAGAACCCGGGGTGCCAGCGCCTCAGGCGGAGGATTAGCCTAGTGAGCCGCGGCACCGGTCAATTTTAATGAGATTTTTAAACATATATTGTTTTGTAACTTTTATCCACTTAATGTTTCATAAATCTTGTCATTTTACTTCCTTTATATAGCAGTGTAACAGCTCTGCACAACCCTCTCACAATGCGCTTGCCTTACCCAATCAAAACAGTTTCATGTGTGTATCTGCTTTCCAACATTGCACTTTTAGAAGCTCTAAGAATATATTTTACAGAGAAAAGTTTTTGTAAGCTGTAGTATAATGTTTAATGACTACTAGGTATTTCAAGAATGATCTTAACCAGCCCTGTCTGTAAGGGATTTACATGGTTTGCAGTTTCTCACTATCTTTGTTCCTTGGACTAGCTTCTTAGAAGTACAAGTGCTACATCAAAGACTGCTCAGAATTTGAAGGCAATTACTAAATTGCCTTCCAAAAAAACTGGTATTTTTTAGATATAGCTTTGGTACATGATTTTTTTTTAAAGATTTACTTACATATTTACTTGAAAGACAGAGTTTTAATGAATAGAGAAAGAGAGACAGAGAGGTCTTCCATCAGCTGGTTCACTCCCCAAATGGCCACAATAGCTGGAGATGGGTTGATCGGAAACCAGGAGCCAGGAGCTTCTTCCAGGTCTCCCACATGGGTGCTGGGGCCCAAGCACTTGCCCATCCTCCACTGCTTTTCCAGGCCATAAGCAGGGAGCTGAATCAGAAATGGAGCAGCTGGGACTTGACCCAGCGCCCATGTGGGATGCCAGTGCTGCAGGCAGAGTTTTAACCTACACCACATGCCAGCCCCCGGTACATGATGTTTTCCTTCTTCCTGGCAAACTACTTATTGTATTTTCTTAGTTTATTTATTCTGTAGGTGAAAGTAGCATTTGTCTCTCATTGATTAAGATTCACGGTTGTACATTTTCCCCTGTATATTGATCCTTTGATTTTCTTTAATGAATTACCTGTCATGACCTCTGCATATTTTTCTTCCGGGTGTTTTCTCATTTTCTTATCTACTGTTGAAAATGTTGTGTGTACACATACTTACCTTCTGCCCTACATGTTGCAGTGGTTTGCTTATGAATCTCGTTCAGCCAGTTTTCAGTTGTCAGGTCCGTCCTTGTCTTTCATAGGGGTAGTGAAATGCTAAGGTGTCTCTTTCCTACCCTAAGATTAGATTTTTTAAAATTCAGCTTTTAATTTGTTTGTTTTATATTTTTTTGCAGATAAATATCTACTGCTTGAAATTTATTATAGAAAAATTATAGAAATTCAGATATTTTCCAACAAAATTGTCAGACCTGATCATTTCTGACCATCTCTTATAAGGCCAGATTGATGGAGCAGCAAGTCAGCTGACAATGTATGGCAGTGGTTTCCCATCATTTCCTAATTGCCATTCCTTTGCAATCTAGCAGTTGTATCAAGGTTATTTAGAAATTTTTCTGGGGACTGGCACTGTGGTGCATCGGGTTAAGCTACTGCCTACAGTGCTGCATCCCATTTGGGCACCAGTTCAAGTCCTGGCTGCTCCACTTCCAATCCCACTCCCTGCTAATGTGCCTGGGAAAGCAGTAGAAGAGGACCCAAGTCCTTGGGCCCCTGCACCCAGATTGGTAGACCCTGATGAAGCTCTAGGCTTCAGCCTGGCCTAGTCCTGGCCGATGTGGCCATTTGGGGAGTTGTGCCAGTGATGGAAGATCTCTCCCTCTCTCTACAACTGCCTTCAAATAAATAAATAAATCTTGAAGGAAAAAAAAATTTTTTCCGGCCCGGGGTTGGCACTGTGGTGCAAAGGGTTCAGATGCTCCCCCTGCAACACCAGCATCTCATACCAGAGTGCCAACTTGAGTACCAGCTACTCCACTTCCAGTCCAGCTTTCTGCTAATATGTTTGGGAAAGCAGCAGAGGATGGCCCAAGTACTTGCACCCCTGCTACCCACATGGGAGACCAGGCTGGAGTTCTTTCTTGGCTTCAGCCTGGCCCAGACTTGGCTGATGCAGCCATTTGCAGAGTGAACCAGCAGATGGAAGGTCTCTGTCTCTCTGTCACTCTGCCTTTCAAATAAATAAATAAATTGAAAAATAAATTTTTTTCTGACCTTTCTGTTGTTTTTTCCTTAGAATCAAGTGTTCCCACATGCCAAGGAGAACTGAGGCATTGGAATACTGGTCACTACACTTTAATCCATGACAACAGCCAGACTGAATTTGCGCTGGACTTGCTTCTCTACTGCGGCTGTGAAGGTAAGAGAAAAAGGAAAGCAGTGCTTCATTTCCTTAAAAGGTGCAGTCCTCTGGGTGACCCCCTCAAGCTGAACTAATTTAGAAGTAATTTGCATTGGCCAGGCTCTCAGGTCACAAGGATCTCGAAGTTGGAAGGGCTCTTTCAAGGCACAGGTCATGAATTTGTCTTCCAACTCCAAGAATTTATCTGTGACTAAGAAAAGGGGGCGGGCCCTACCATTATTTCCCTCAAGTCCTCCCCCTAGAAATACTGCTTTCGTGTATTTGTCCTTTTGGAGTACATTTAATTCTCGCTTAACTTTCTTATTCAAAGTTGATTGAATAAGCCTGCCTTCTAGTATAGCTGTCTTAGGAAATTAAGTATTTGGGAGGAAGGAAGCCCATGATAAGCTCCGTGGTAGTTCATGTTCACAGATCAGATTGGTGAGTGCTGAACTCCCAGATGGCTCACTTTTAAAACCCATGGGATTGGTGAGTTAAGTGATGATGTAAATCTTGCAATGAGAGTTTTCTGAATGCTGTCTGTTTTCCCCTTGTAAGGCTGGGAGCCAGAGTTTGGTGGCTTTACCTCCTACATTGCCAAAGGTGAAGATGAAGAGGTCAGTTGGTTTTCATACAAATTCTCATTCTAAGTTCTTTTCAATCTTCAGAGACCCAATTTTCATAATCATCTGCCAGTGTCTGTAGCTCATCAGTCCATATTGGTCTGCTAGCAGTGGTTCTAATTTATAGCAAGAAACATTCATTCTGGGTTAAAGGTGTTAAAGGATAACTCACTAAACATTTATTTGAGGCCAGCGCCACGGCTCACTAGGTTAATCCTCTGCCTGCGGTGCTGGCACCCTGGGTTCTAGTCCCAGTTAGGGCGCCGGTTCTGTCCCGTTTGCTCCTCTTCCAGTCCAGCTCTCTGCTGTGGCCAGGGAGTGCAGTGGAGGATGGCCCAGGTCCTTGGGCCCTGCACCCACGTGGGAGACCAGGAGAAGCAACTGGCTCCTAGCTTCGGATCAGCGCGGTGCGCCGGCCGCAGTGCACCAACCGCAGCGGCCATTAGGGGGTGAACCAACGGAAGGATGACCTTTCTCTCTGTCTCTCTCTCTCACTGTCCACTCTGCCTGTCAAAAAATAAATAAACAAACAAACATTTATTTGACGTTACTGAGAAATGCCTAGTTAAGGGCCAGGTGGTGCATTCCCACAAATCTTTCAGTTTAGTAAGATAAAAGTACATTAAGTAAAACCCTTCTGAGCATGTGCTGGAATAGGGTCATTGGAAAACGTCTTGCCAGCCAGCCAAAGGCTCTTCCTCTAGTGAAGGATCTCCCAAAGGACTCGTCCCAAGGTTAAGTTCTTGACATGGAAGCCACCTGTTCCCTGGTGAATCGTTGATGAGTTGAAATGAATTGTGTTCTGATGTGTCATTACGTTTGCCTGTTTCAGCTGCTAACGGTGAATCCAGAAAACAATTCTTTGGCATTGGTCTACAGAGATAGAGAGACTCTAAAGTTTGTCAAGCATATTAACCACCGAAGCCTAGAACAAAAGAAAACCTTCCCAAATAGAACAGGTTTCTGGGACTTTGCATTTGTCTACTATGAATGACAGAACTAGACGAAGCTAACCCATACTGGGAAATCTGAAAGAGCTGGGCTGGGAGTGAATGGTGTTCTGTCCGACAGCATTCTCAACACTGGTATCCTTTTACAGATTCGTATGATTGTCAATCTAGACCATGAGCTTGGAGCTGTACTTATCTCTTGATTTAAAAAATATATGTATATTTTTTAACATTAAGTTGTTTTCCAGTATTGACTTCTGTTGACTTCTTAGACTTTTTTAATTTAACTTCAGTATTTTCTGTTTTCTTTATTGTGGTAAGATACGCATCACATAAAATTTAGCCATTTCTAAATGTGTAGTTCAGTGGTGTTGAGTACATTCACTGTTGTACAGTTGTCATAACCACCCATGTCCAGAACTTTTCCATCTTGCCAAACTGAAACTCCCTGCTCTCTTCTACCCCAGCCCCTTGCAACCACTGCTATTTCTATTAATTTGAGTACTCATTTTTCTTCATAACTAGAATCATACAGTATGTATCTTTTTGTGATTGGTGTGTTTCACTTAGTATAAGGTCTTCAAGGTTCATCCATTATGGCCACTAATTTTTTTTCTCATCAATGACTGCAGATTCTATTCTTCATAATTCTGGTTTAGAAAATTACAGAAACTTAAATCCTGTTCATGCTGGGCCTTAGGGTTCTGACACGGTTTTTAAGTCATTACACTGCCTATGGCTGTGTTCCCCAGTGACCCTCACAGGAAGTGTGGATTTAGACGATGTGTAGTACTATTCCCTGGGAAGAGGTCTGGCTTAATACTCCATGGCCTCAAGAAGCCTCTGCTTGGTAAAGAAGACTCGCTGCTTTTAGCCGAGCACAGTCCCCAGGTGCCCACTGACTTTTGTATACTGAAGCTGTGGCTTCTGTATAATTAATTCCTGCCTCACCTGTGGCTTTCATTTTCCTAAATATTGTAGGCTCGGCTATAGAACTGCTTGCCTTTTTTAAATGAAAAAGAGCAAAAGCTAAAAAGCCACATCTCAATGCCAAGAGGCTGTCCATCTACTGTGTTTTTTTTCTCTGAACTCTTCTGGGAAGTTGTATCCTGACCACCTGTCTGTGGGACTATGCAGGGATGGATGAATGTTCTCATCCCATCCGCATATTATCTCCCTGTTTGCTTTCTCTTTCTACATTTTTCTAGCTACTGCAGTAATCTTTAGTGTATGTTTCACTAGTTAATTGGAAAAGCATTGGGCCTTTAAATTTCTTAACCACTCTTCTCTTTCATCTCAGAAAACTCTGAATACTAATTTTTTTCTCCTGAGGTTTGTATTTAAATAAACAGAGTGAGTTTCACCCTCCATCTTTTAAGTTGATGATCTCAAAAATGGTTTTGGATTATGTACCTCAGTCAGTAAAAAGTGTTTTAGCATGTGTGTTCATTTTATGGATACTTGTAAAGGTTACACATATAATGATAGTTATAAAACAAACACTAGCCTTTAAACGAGGTAACAACATCCCAAGCTAGTTCTCATATTGTTTCCCACACCCATATGGTAATGGGCTGTGTTACATGCATACCATTTTGGAGACAATTTTTTAACCACAGTGTGGTGACATTCAGATGGAATTGCAAATACTTGGTTACCAAAGGTTAATTTCAAGGCTTGCCTTCTCTAAAGACCTGCAGATTGAAGCTCATCTCTCTAACACTACTGTTACTCAGTTGCTTCCTGATGTCTCTTCAAGAGGGAGATAGAGGGGTGAGGTTACCCTTAACCTCAAACAGTGGCAGAACCTCAGGCAGACCCAGGGCAAGGTGGTGGGTCAGTGGACGCAGGCACCACGTTCGGAAAACAGTCTGAAACTCACTGCTGTCAGCACCCTTTAAGGCCACCCATCATCCCTAGTTCCAGAGAGCTAAGTCCAAATCTTGGCCTACTACACAAGGGTTATAATGTGCTCACTACAAAAGGATCCAGCGTCTGGGGGAGGAGAACCCCTAAGAACCCAACTCCGATGCTGCTGTCAGTTGGCTGATGAAATCTGCAGGTTGCATTTCCGCACGGAAGACACAAGTGCCTGAGAAGCCGCTTGCCCGTGGGACGTCAGCCTTGCTCTGGGCTCCTGCGGCCAGTGTGGACATGTAAGTGGCAGAAGAATGAAAACATGCATATCTTCGTTTTGCCTCTCAGGAGAAAGCTGTGATGCTCGCCTGCGTGATTATGGCACCCCGCTCTTAATAGTGAGCCTCCAACCTGTACAGCTCCCTTCAGTAAAAGAAGCTTAATTCCTCCCCCACCCCCCAGAGAGAATAGCTTTGTGTCTTTTCTAGGTTATGTAAACAATGCATGGGATTCTATAAACAGCACATGCTTATTGTGAGGAACGAAAACAACACGTGAAAGAAAGTTAACAGTCAGCTGAAGTCCTGCCACGCCTGCCAACCACTGGACGCTTTGTCATGTTCCCAACTTGGCTGGACTGAACTGTCCCAGAACTGCCGCGTTTCCAGTTAGGGTAGCCACAAATTCTTACGCAAGATCTGGAGGGCAGAACAAAGCAGGCGTGCAGTGGCTCGCATGTGGTTGCTCACCTTGGCCTGCAGCTGCTCGGATGAAAGGGCTCAGTGTCTGCTGCACGCCCGCACCATCAAGGTCTGAGGCAGCAAGAACTGACGAGTTCCCGCGTGGCCTCCGGCTCCAGCTCACGCCTGTGGCTTCCACCTTGTCCCCAGCTTAACATCCTTCCTGGAGCTTCGGGCTCTCGCATGGGACTCATCGCTCACTGAGACTGCCTGTTGATGTTGACTGTCATGGAAATTAGGAAGTTTTTAAAGCTCATTTGTAAGTATATATGCATTCCCTCTAATAGAAGAATAAGAGGTTTAAGGAAGAATCCATAATTTCAGTCCCTCCTTTTAAGGATGTGGAAAATGAAGCCTAGAAGGAAAAAGACTTGTTTTGAACACGGCTTGTCTACATTGTAAGGCTTGCCTCTGGGGGTGGGTGTTCAGCACAGTGGTGAAGATGGCCATGTGGGATACCCACAGCCCATGTCCGAGTGCCTGTGTTCCAGTCCCAGCTTCCTGCTAATGCACACCGGGAGGCAGAAGGGGAGGGCTCAGGTACTTGGGTCCCTGCCACCCATGTGGGAGACCCAGATTAAGTTTCTGGTTCCTGACTTCTGCTTGGTCCTGCTCAGCTGTTGAGGGCAATGGAGAAATCTCTCAAGTAAAGTTTAAATATAATATAGTATATATATTATATATATATATATATTGCCTCTGAAACTCCACTGGATGTGGTTTCTTCCTCAGAGAATACTGAAGAAAATCATAGCTTGGGCTGCCTCTCCTAGGCAAGAAGCTTCAATTCCATTCTCTACTTCCCACTACTAAAACTGAATGAGAAAATACAAACTCCAGTAAAAGGGCCCTTGCGAGAGATGACCTGGTGTGATGCCGGAGGGAGGCCTGCAGCCTTCAGGGAATGGGACACCCCCACTGGAACAGGCTCCCCCCGGGTGCTGTCAGTCCACTCAGAGAACTGAAGAACGTGTTGGGGACCGTCCACATGGCATCATCTTTAGGGAAGGCAGAGTTCTGCACCACACAAATCCAAGATGACTCAGGAACTAGAGCAAGTTGCGTGGGCCGGGGCCAGATGGGAAAGGGCAGTGCAGAGCACCAGGCTGCAGTGTGTCTCATCATACTTCAGTTTCAAAGAGAAATTGGAGATAATTGAGTTCTGTGATCACAGGAGTCTGCAGTGGCAGATTTGTAACTGCTAATTACAAGACTTAAAACGTTAGTAACTGCCGAAAATCATTTCTGCAAAGCCCTCCTGGGGTTGCGTAATAGTTGTCAAGTTCCTGGTTCTTGGATTTCTGAAGCTGCTGCCAGGCGTGCTGAGGACAGACAATCCCACGGAGAGCGGATGCTTTCCAAACTGGAGGCACGGGGACAGCCCTGGAGAGGAGGAAGCTGATGAAGGCGCAGGCCCTGCTCTAACTGAACAGCTTAGGGTTTCTGTAAACAGGATGTAATGAGGGCTAAGGAAAACACATGGAGAGAGGAGAGTTCTCAAAATGGGAGCAGAGCCCCGATGTACTGGAGAGACAGACATGGTGAGAAATAATAGAAACTATACCGTCTTGGTAACATACTGAATTACAAGGCCTGAATTTTTAAAAGATGCTCACAAAATGACTAAAAATCTCCTAAACAGCCATAATCCACAAAAATCTGCTTTTAAATGAAAGCAGAGCACTTTACTTCAAGCTTCAATAAAATCCAGCAGTAAACTAAGACTGGCTGGAGAAGGCACTTGCATATACCAGGATAGAAAAAAATGTGGCAAGAAAGTAGAGAAGCAACCTACGAACTCATTCCTCGACATCAGAATGGTTCTTCTCATCCCTAAACTGAACACGGTATCTTCTAAGAGAGCGGATAATCCCTCTCCATGCGTGTTTCCATGTAATCCAGTCCTGACTGGCTTGGGAACAGTCTGAAGGAGCAGAAGGGCCATGACTACTTGGTTCCGAAACCTCCTTCATCCCCCCACTTACTGTGGGCCCCGCCCGTACAGGACACTCTGCCTTCCCCAGCTCAGAGGCCTCATCTGAAACGCTGACACCACATTGCTGTGAAAGGAAGCTATTGGGAGCTTATCAGTGAGGACTGGTTAAAGATGCCTTGCTGCAGGTCAACCCCTTTTAAGCTCTGCCATGACCATCTTTAGGTCTCAGGAAGTTTTCTGGCCGCAGGACAACAGAATGACTTTTTTGATGAGAATATTCTATTAGATTTACTAAAAAAGAATGGTGCCAGGGCTGGCGCTTTGGCGCAGCGGGTTAAAGCCCTGGCCGGAGGCGCTGGTGTCCCATATGGGCGCCAGTCCCAAGCTGCTGCTCCTCCGATCCAGCTCTCTGCTCTGGCCTGGGAAAGCAGCAGAATATGGCCCAAGTCCTTGGGCCCCTGCACCCACGTGGGAGACCCAGAGGAGGCTCCTGGCTCCCGGCTTCAGATCGGCTCAGCTCTGGCCATTGCGGCTTTCTGGGGAGTGAACCAGCGGATGGAAGACTTCGCTCTCTGTCTCTACCTCTCTCTGTAACTCTTTCAAATAAAATAAATCTTAAAAAAAAAAAAAAAGAATGGTGCCAAACAAGTTAAAACCAGCACCAACTAAAGATTTTAATTTCAAAAGATTAAGTTAGAATATGGTTAACAGGGAAAAAAGATTCAACACTGGGACTTGAATAATTTTGCCATTAATTAATCTCTGCTCTTCAGCTTCCTTTTAAAGCAGGAACAAAACTTTAGTACTTAAAGAATATTGAAAATAACACAGCAGATGTGAGCTTATAAATTGAAAATGCAAAACAAAGATATAGGGCGTATTCTCATAAAAATTCAGACTTCACAAAGCTTACGTTTCAGATAAAGGAGAGGGGAATCCTAAGTAGCTGAATGGAAGCTCCTGGAAAGTTAGTTCATACTAGCCTCAAGGGGAGGGCCCCGTACCCCCAACTGCTTATGAAGCCTTAGAAGATGGGCAAAGTGCCAGTCATGAAGCCAGCTTTCAAATCCACCTCGGCACAGAATTCTACCTCCCAGAGAAGAGACTGCTGCCTGTTGGCACGGCAAGATAACATCTCGTGGCCTCCCCTGCAGGTGTGGTGTGGTGCCCGGTGAAAGGTGAGCGAGATCATGGTGGGCTACTTCCAGACCACAGCTTTTAAAAGGAGGAAATCGTCCTTGGGCTTCTTTATTTAGAGAACTTGGGTTGAGAAAAGCAAGAAATCTCTGTGTAATAAATGAGAAATGAGCCACAAATTTTGAGGCCTATTTATTACAGCAACTAACATTAGCCCAACTAATGACTCATCGCTCTACGCTGGCTCCTCCTTCATATAAATCTGCTGTTTACACTCACTTCTCAGTGAATAAAAAGAAGGCACGCACACAGAATAGCCGCGTTCTTGTTTTACTCCACAAAATACAAATAGCTTATGCAGTTCTGATAGGTGGTGATTTTACAAGTCATCCACACAAAGTCTGACACCTTTAAATTTTAATGAAAAAGCAGATGATCTATTTGAAAATTACAAATTTAATTCATTTCAAGAAAAAGATATTTATACACTGACTTTACATAAACAAAAATTTAGACTGTGAAGCCCTAACATTTCAAAAGTATTGTTCTGTATATAAATCTAGTTTTATATCACAACAGTACTACTGATTTAAAAATAGAAAGTGAATCCATTGTTCCTAAGTAACGCTTGGTCCTCAGTTTATACAGCTCGCTGAAGCTGTCTTCACACACAGCACAGCACAGTGCCCATTCTCTGCTT